AAAAAAAAAAAAAAAAAAAAAAAAAAAAAGCACAAGGCCTTTAATGCAAAACTCAGGGAGGCTGAAAATATAGCAAAACTCACTTTGACTTGGAGGTAGACGAAGAACATGGGACAGACACGACCAGGTAGACAGAACAATCATCCGACAATGAGACAGAGACAAGTCTGAGCTTAAATACACAGAAAACTATGAGGGAACAGAAAACACCTGGGGAGAAACACAAGGGTAATCAGCAGTGTGATGTGGGGCAGCTGAGCAGAGACACACGGGAACATAGAAACACTAGGAAAACCCAAGGCACAAAATGACAAACCATGACAGTACCTCCCTCTTAACGATCGTCACCTGACGATCAACAAGGAGAGCCACGGGACAAGGGGAGACGTGACGACAAAACTCGAAGACAAAACATGAAAGTTCAGGGGGACGGCCAGGAAACCCTCCATGGCGAGGCCCCGCAGGAGCAGACGTTGAGCCCCTGGAGGAGGCGGGAGCGGACGTGTGGCCAAGGTGGGAGGCGGGAGCTGATGTTGGAGGTTGATGGAGCCAGAGCCTTGGCGACAGTGAACACAGGATGACAGAGGGGACGGCCCAGGCGACGGCAGCCGACGAGGAGGCTTCTGGGAGATGAGCAGGCGATGTGGAGGCAACGGCAGCTGACCCAGATGTCGTGGAGGCGCCGGCAGCTGACTCACAAACCTCAGAGACTGCCGACTCTGGGCTCGCCATCACCGGAGACATTGGGACCACCAACTGTGGAACCACCAGGACCGCCAATTGTGGAACCACCGACTGGAACCACCGGGACCTCCAACTCAGGAACCACTGGAACCACCAGCTCAGGAACCACCGGAACTGGAACCAGAAACACCGGCTCAGGAACCCTAACAACCAGCGCAGGAGGAGCAGAAGGGGTGGGAGGGTGGGTACCAGATGACTCCCCCAAAACCCTCTGCACAAACAGGTGTAGCAGCTGATGACCTGGCAGGAGGAGCAGATCTGGGCGCTCCCCCAGAACGCGTTGTATCTGCCGGCAGATGGAGAGTCTGTTGGAGCGCATTGAGATCCCCTGAGGATTTACACCGACCGTCCAATGATGGGGGATGTCACCTGTTCCTCCCAGGGGCGCAAGGAAGGGACCGCTCCTCAAGGGCAGAAGGAGGAAGAGCAGTCAAGGCTGGCCCAGGTGACGCTGGTGGACTCCCAACAGCGAGAGGAGAAAGACCGGCGTGCCGAGGGACGGCGAGAAAAAAAAAATCTTGCTCCTCTTTAAAAAAACCCGAAAACAGGGTGCCTGTGGGCTGGGTGCGTGGTCGGATCATTATGTCGGGACCGACAAAATAACCCAGGGCACAGGCCAATGTCAAAAATAAAAAAAAGGCACAAGGCCTTTAATGCAAAACTCACTTTGGCTTGGAGGTAGACAAAGAACATTAGACAGAACACAATGATCTGACAATGAGGCAGAGACAAGACTGAGCTTAAATACACAGAAAACTAATGAGGGAACAGAAAACACCTGGGGAGAAACACAATGGTAATCAACAGTGTGATGTGGGGCAGCTGAGCAGAGACACACAGGGGAACATAGAAACACTAGGAAAAACCAAGGCATAAAATGGCAAACCATGACAAAATACTTTGACTTTTATGCAACAGAAGACTTTAACTTTTACCAAAGTAATTCTTTAGTAAGTTACTTATACTTTCAAATATCATTTTGAGATACTTAAACACTGGACTCTGCATCAACTCTCAACTTATATGTTAATAGAACACAACTTTATAAAGTTAATTCACAGGGAGACATGTTTTTGTCTTTTAAATTTATTTCAGAGAGGACTCTGTACAGAAATTACCAACACAATTGGAAACAGGATAGCTTCTTCCAAAAAAAATAATTAAAATAAAATAAACAAACAAACAAACAAAAAAAAAAACACACAAAAAACATCCCTCATTTGGCCATTTTGGCATCATATATCAATATTTTAATAACTGACCTATTAGAAAAAGATTGCAGTTCAAATTGCATTAAGACTATTAAGTGAAAAAAACAAACAAACAAGCAAACCAAAAAACAACTTCTCCAGAAAGTTGAATGAAATTTGATGATGAACATATTTGATTTGGTCTTTCCAGGATGTAAGACTGAAGCTTAATAAAAGTTACATTATGTAAATGATTAAATGTTAACGTGGATGACTCTGAATTACAACATTTTTGTTTCTTAGTTGTGCCTCATGATGTGCTGTGCTGGGAAGCTACGAGTTGATGCTTACATTTGATTGATGCTAATGGTTTATTGATGCTAATGGTTGAGTGACATGTCGATAGATCAATAGGCTTAGCAGGCTAAGGTTAACCAGAGGAGAAGGAGGTAAACTTATATACCCTGTCATGTTCGATACCACAGGACCTCCTTTCGCTGCAGCCAGAAAGGCACATCTCAAGATTATTTCTAATAAAACATTTTGAATAGACAAAAACAGTCCATGCATTTATAAACTGAGTGAGGGGTTTTCTTCCTTTTCCAGGTTCTGTTTAGGGTCAGTCTGGATCCAGGTATGGGTCTTGGGAAGGCCTGAGGTCTTGGGTAGAAACAGTAAAGATGCTACTGCTGGGCTTTCTTTGCCAGAGCCTCAGCCTCCTGGTGAAAAATAACAGGAAAAAGAGATGTTATAATTAAATATTGGTTTATTCGCCACTGCTTAGAGGCACCACCCTTGTGTTTCTTAGGTAAAGGAGTAAGGGGTCTCTGCAGTAGGTTTTGTCTTGTGGGCGGAGATGGCCCAAGAGACGTGATTGGTCGGATTGACGGAGGGGTTTGAGGAGGCCGGAGGCAGCGGTGAGTAGCTTTATCAAGTCAAGCAGGAAGCAATGTTTTTTAAGATTAATTTTAGTCATAACTTGAGAAAGGAAAGTGCTAGCTCCAAGAAATTTGAACGTCATGCATGTGAAAGGATGTGGAACAATATGGCTTGGTTAAAACATCCCTAACCAGCCTGTAAAAAGATTGCTAAAAAATTACAGGCTGGTTAGGGGTGTTTTAACCAAGCCATATTGTTACACATCCTTTCACATGTACAACATTCAAATTTCGTGAAGCTAGCACTTTCCTTTCTCAAGTTACGACTAAAATTAATCTAAAAAAAAAAGTTGCTTCCAGCCCGACTCGACCAAGCTACTCCTCGCTGCCTCCAGCCTCATACCCCACCATCAATCCGACCAATCACATCTCTTGGGCCATCTCCGCCCACATCAAGACTTCCGCCAATCATGAGTAGGGGTGTCTCCGCCCACATTAAGACCTTTGCCAATCACGAGCAGGGACGTCTACGCCCACAATAAGACCTCGGCCAATGACGATTTGAGCCGTCTCCACCCACAAGACAACACGTTCTGCAGAGACCCCCTACTTGAGGTAAAGAGCACACCTCCCTGCAGTTACTGTTGTGGCAGAGAAGAGGTACTAGTGAGCATGTCTAAAAGTGGAAAAAAAGAAGAGAAGAGGCCTGTTAAACCATTAGATTGAGGTCTTTGTCTGAATGCCGGTGATTCAGCCATAGGTCAGCAGGGGGCGAACTCAGGCATTGAAGATTCTGTTTATATACTGATCCATTTCCTGTTTTTCTTTCAGTGTGGTTTCGCTTGTCAGTCTGGTGGCAAATAAACCTCACTCCAGAATTCTGACGTCGTATGACATTTATTTCCTATCGCAGATTATTTTATTTAACACTTGTGTTTTCGTCTGATTTCAGCCGATATTAAAACACGTATTTCTTACAGTAGGATATCATCAACAGATGTGTAATCTGTGCATTGTGTATGTGGAAATATCACTGTCAGGACACATTTATGAAACATGTAACAATATTTTATACAAGTAACCTGAAAGAGTGCAAACCTTACACTAAGAAGCACAAGCCAGTGTGTCTGGGAGGGAGTTGTGGGAGCTAGACTTAGAGGTGACTATTTATGAGCAACAGTATGGTTTCGTGCTAAAAAAGTGAACCACATATGCCCTATGTGCTTTGAGGATGCTGATGGAGAAGTACAGAGTGGATCAGAAAGAACTGAATTGTAGGTTTAGACAAAGAGATGTCAGGCAAATAGATGAAGTCAGATCACAGTGGATTTGAATGTTTGCAGATGACACTGTGAACTGTGGTGAGAACAGGTGGAAGAGAACTGTGAAAGGTGGAGGTTTGCAGCTTGTAAGAAGACGGAGCACATGTGTGAATACAAGGTGCAGACGTCCCAAAGGTGCAAGTCTTCAAAAACTTCTGGTCAACTGTCCAGGAAAACAGGGAGTGCGGTAAAGACGTGAAGAAATGGTAACTGGCCTGAACATGTATTGACCCTTTGTATGTGACGTCACCCGCCCCACACAAGCAAAAATTCGCTGTTAGTCACATGAGATCCAATCAGGAGCTGCTGAGACGCGGACTGTCAGCCATGGGGAAAGCCAGAAGGTGGGATGGAGATAATAGGGTTGAGCCGGATACTCGTTTCTGACGAGTATTCGTTACGAATAATGCATTTTTGACGAGTACGAGCATGAAATGAATACAACTTGTCAATATCCGTGCTCGTTGTGAAGGAAGATCCTCAGTGGGTAACTGACTGTCTTCACGAGCTGTGATTGGCCAGTCACACACAGAGAGCCCGCCCCTCCCCTCACAGCCTTGTCTCTGGGAGCCTGATCAGCTGAGTGAAGCTGACACACACACACACACACACACACACACACACACACACACACACACACTTTTTTTTATCCCCTGGAGTGAGGCAGAGTGGTATGTGCTGCACAA